CTTAATGGGCACTTGTTGCAGGAGAGGACTAGATAGTAAAGAAGAAGATAATTTCCCAGAATTCGAACTGTGGTTTGTGATAAGAACATCAATCCTATTGCCACGTCTCTGTGGGGCATTCTGTCATCCAGCACAGTACAGTTTCTTTTCTATGAGTTTAATGACTCATTTAAAATTTTGTAGCCAGACACTGTGGTGTGCACCAGTAGACACCAGTGGCTCAGGAGGCTGAGGCAGGAGGAACTCTTGAGCTAGGAGATTGAGATCATCCTGGGAAACACAGCAACAGCCATGGGGATTGGCAAAGACAAGAAGATGCATATGTTCATGGGGAAAAATCCCACCCTATTTTCTTAGAGAAGTTGTCATTAAAGCTCAGATGGTGATACCCTGGGAGAAGCAATGAAAAGTGAGCAGTGGACAGAATGCATAAATCAATCATTTTTCAGAATCAACTGGTATATTCTGATCATATTGAAGAAGAGACAACATCAGTCACCATCTACACCATATAAAAATTCAGTTCTTGTTTAAATCTGAAAGAAAATGAATGGAACATGTTCAACAACAAAAGAATATTTTTGTACTACTTGGTAACAAATTGTACATCAAACATCAGACATTCCTGAAGAATACGATTGAAATGACAAATTTTATCTAGTTAAACTAAGATCAATTTGCACATGGTGTTGCAAAGGAGATTAATGTACCAAGTGGGAATAACTTATACAGAATGAATAACAGAATTGAAATAAGCATTATGTTCCAACAAAAACCACAGGAAATCACTATTCAATGAATAACAAATATGGGGAAGATTTTAGTCTAGTATGACCTTTGCATTTGGTTTAAAGTTTTAGTATATAGAGAAATATGAATTAGAAATGAGATTTTATAGATCCTAATAAAATGTAGTGCACTAATCACAGTCAACTCTCTGGATTCAATCAAAGCAAGAGGCACTCAATATTTAGATTGGCAATAAAAATATCATTCCAGAGGCAAAAATATACTGGAAGGTATATATAGTTGAACAATTGTACTTAGTCTCTAAACCATGAAACATGATATTGTAGTTTGTGATAAAATGGTGTAGGATAGAAATTTAGTTGTCATTCATCTCAGGTGAAAAGCTTATGTGTACCAACACCTATGAAACCATTGGTAAAAAGCAAGGTTTTGAAAGGTACTTTGCAAGAAATAATAAAATAGAATCTCTATACTATGAATTTCCGGGCGTTCTATGAATAGAAACACAAAGAAATACATTCCATGGGATTGGAATTAAAATGAAAATGTTAATAACCCAGAGGAAACAAAAAAGACACCTTTGGTTCTGACAACCAATGTTTAATACTCATAAAGTTACTTCCGTTATGTGTTGTGTTCCCAAGTTCATCAGGAGAAGAATTCTCACTACAAGCATCACACCATAGGTGATTCACAATTTCTGTCTCCTCTGAATGAATTGGATACAGATGTTGGTTTGGATTTCTGTTCAGGATAAGGTTATTCTGCCCTTAATCCTCATCTTTATTGTAGGCATGAAGGCATTATAAACACAGCTCCAATAATATGTATGATTTATTCTATGATTTATGTAGTGTCTGTGGACAGAGGTGCTTTAATTACCACAATGCTTCAGCACTTCCACACCCAGGTTTCACTATCAACATCTGGGATTATCAATAATAGTCACACTCACTGAGGACTTTATTACATTCTATTTGGAGCCATCATGTATTGGCCTCAGGCTAATGCAAAATAACAAAAAATTATTCCTTTCCTTGTCTACAATGACACTAGATCGCCTTCTCTCAAAATCCTTTTTCAGAAATGGGTACTTCCCCAAATTTCTCTTCTTACACACTGAGCTTTTATGTCAGAATTAGAAAATACTCACTGTGCTTCTTCTGTGCAAGGTGGTGGGCTCAGTGTGAGGTCCTGACAGCCAGCATGGAGGGAGGGAGACAGCTGCACCCTGAGATAAAGGTCTGTGCTCCTGTGACCTCACTTCCCCTCAGGGCTGCAATTATCACTTCACCTGGAGAGGCAATGACAGTGCAGGCCTGGGCAGCCCAGGACATTGCTGAAAAACTGTCTCCTCACTTGTTAATTAATAAGGCAATTATGAGTTCCTTGTTAGTAACTTCAGAATAAGTGTTGAGGAGTTTTGGAAAGGCTGTTTCATTTCCTTGATTCCTTAAGACTGAAAGTGTATTCTTGGAATGTGTAGGAAATATTGAGCTGGGACCTATGAGGGACTTGGAGATCTTCTAATTCAAAATTTTACTAATTCTAAGTATTCAGATACTTATGCTTCACGATTCTAACACAGTCTGGAAAAAACAAAGGAGAATGTGAGAAAGCATCTTAGAAGGATTTCTCATAAGGTAAGAGCAAAAGGAAGATCATAGTGTTATAATTGAAATTAGGAAACTGTACTCATTTGTATACTAGAACTTAAAATTATGTGGAAATGATGTTAGGAAAATATTGTAGGCAAAATTATTTTATGAATATTACCCCAGCAGTGGGAGAAAGTCTAATTAGAACATTAGAAGGGAGATGCTTATAACAGTATCTCACAAATAAAATCACCAGAATTAGAGGATCAGCCAACAAATTGTCATTTTTGGTGTGTCATATAAGCAAATGCTACCATTTCCATCCAAAAGCAAAAATGTTTTTCAGAATAATTAAACATACTTTTGCACAGAAGATTAAAGAAGTGTGCACGAACTAGTAACTAAGGAAGAAATATAGAATTTAATGTATCCAGTGATAATTAGTGTTACAGAATGCACAAAAACATCAAATAATTTCAACAGTTACATAAAGACAAAAAAAATCATTCAATGAATAATAACGATGGGGGGAAAGTTCAATGTCTTTATTTAAGCACTCTCCAATATAAGCACACAACAAACTGAATTTAAAGTAAAATGTTAGAAAATACCACGATCGGGAAGGATGCGATAGCTCAGGAATCTCATGAACTAGCAATGGTTGTTAAAATTGGGGCAAACGTGTGGAAAAGCTGGTGGTGTCCACTTACTGGATCAGATACAAACGTCTATGCCAGCAATTCCAATCTGATGTGTCCGTGTTGTATTTAATCTAAGCAAGACTGGCCCAAGTTTTAGTTCTACAAGGGAAGAGTGAGACGGTGGAGGTAAGGGAAAGGGAAGCAATGAGAACTGAAAATGGAGAAAATTATATTCCATGCATGCATAATTATGTCAAAATGAGCCCCAGTATTATGCATAACTATAATGCACAAATAAAAATTAAAAAACAAATAAAGGAGGAAAAATTGTTATGAAAAATCAAAACAGATGCTAGGAAACTATGTACTTTTAACTTGACAATGGGTGGAATAAAATCCCCTCTAAACAAAGATTTATTTCCACAAAGAAAATATTCTTTTGTTGCAACTGCAGGAATAAAAGTGTAGTGGAATCTATAAATGAATTATTCATATATATTACCTTGGTACTGAACAATTGCACATGAAGTACTAATATCTGATAAAATAGTTAAAGATAAAAATGAAGTCCTCACTGATTTCACAGCTACATTGTTCAAAGTTTCAGTAATGAAGCAGGATTTGTGGAGGACATTCAATACACAAGATATATCAGTAGAAGTTGGCACATGTGCATTCTTCTGCATTGAATAAATTGAAATAAAAAGGAAATTATCATGTGTGTGATTAATATTGAAGTATTATTAAACCAGAGAATTTACCAGATTAATTTGGTCCTGACAACCACTGTCCAATTCTCATCCTTATAATGTTACTTTCCCTTGTGTGTTCAGCAGGGAGAGAAGTTTTGCTCAGCCATCTCAACACAGGGATTTCTCTCCACACGAGGTGGATTGTAATGTACAATTGGAAAAGAGCATCTTTTATTCCCAGGTCTGGGCTTCTGTACATAAGGAGGTGATCCTCACAGTTCTATCCTTATCTTTACTCTAGGCATGAAAGCTTTATACACACAGACATCATAGCACTTCAAAATATATTATACAATTTTCTAAAGTAATGTGAAGAGCAGATTAGTTGCTACTATAGTCGTTGAGCCCCTTCTATGTAAGAATTTACTATTGATGGTATTATTCACCTATAAACATCCTCAGTGTGTATTTTATTAAATAACTTTAGGAGCCAGGAAAATTGGAATCAGGTCAGGGACACTTCTTCTTTTACTACTGAGCTCATAGTGAAGGAATTATTTCTTTTCCTTCTTTATCTTTACCCTGAATCTCTTCCTAACCCAGAATCTGTTTTTCCCTCTGCTGACACAAGCACATGCTCAGAATTGTTTTCCTTACTGACTCTGCAGAAGTAGAAAACTGAAATAGAAAACACTCACGTTGCTTCTTGTGTGCAAGGTGGTGGGCTCAGTGTGAGGTCCTGACAGCCAGCATGGAGGGAGGGAGGCAGCTGGACCCTGAGATAAAGGTCTGTGCTCCTGTGACCTCACTTCCCCTCAGGGCTGCAATTATCACTTCTCCTGGAGAGGCAATGACAGTGCAGGCCTGGGGAGCCCAGGACAAGGCTGAAAAACTTTCTCCACACTTGTTAATTAGTAATGCAATTATGAGTTCCTTGTTAGTAACTTCACAATGAGTCTTGAGGAGTTTGTTGCTTTTCCCTGATCCCTGCAGGCTGACAGGGTCTTACATGGAAGATTCATAAATATTAAGGTGTGACCATGGGGCCAAGTGTTTGTACATCTTACTGGACTTCAGAATTCCCTGAGTTCTTCTACGTCCAATCTTGTTAATAAATATTCAGATATTTGAGAGCTCTCTGTTTTTTAAGTGTAGGTACTCAATGCTATAAATGTTCCTCCCAGAATCCCTTTCATACTGACCCAGAGATTGATATATGGTATCTCTGTTCTCACTTGTTTCTAAGAATTTCTTGATTTTATCCTATCATGTATTCTATGATCCATTCTTTATTTAAAGGAGTATGGTTCAATCTCGTGTATCTTTTTTTTCATTTTTCTTGTGGTTGATTCCTAGGTTCCCTCTATTAGATCTGATAAGATGTATGATATTTTATCCTTTTTTTTGCTAAGACATCCATTGTGACCTAGTAAGTTTTTCTTATGGTGTTTAATATTTTTTTCTTTATTTTCTATCTTAATTATGATGTGCTTGTAGATTTTCTCTTTGATCTTGTCTATTGGGCTCCTATGTGATTTCCCATATGGTAGAGAAATTTTTCTGTCACTCTCATTGTGGAAGAATGTCATTGATATTTTGGTGGGTATTGCACTGGATCTGTAAAGTGGTTTTGGTTGTACGGACACTTTTATAATATTAATTCTGCCAACCCAAGAACATGGGAACTCTTTCCATTCTTCTAAGGATCCCAGAAATTATGTCTAGTTTTTGTAATTATTATGATTTGCTTTGTTCCCTAAAATGTGATCTATTTTAGAGTATGTTCCATGGGACACTGAGAAGAAAGGGAATTCAGTTGTTAATGGATGAAATATTTTCTAAATGATTGTTGGATTAATAGTGGTTTTTAGTTGTGAAGAATCTTCATTTAGTTTATGTCTGGATGATCTCTCTAGTGGTGAGGCTGTGTGTTGAAATCACTCAATATTGTTGTCTTGTGGTCTACTAGATTATTAATATTGAGAAGGGTTTATTTTATTCCATTGATGGGCTCTGTTTTTGTCTTGTTAGTGATTTCTAATTCCATTTCTTCTGTGGGTAATATTTCATTAAATGTATCTTGTACTGCTTGCTTAGTGGCTATGAATTCTTTTAGTTTCTGTTCATCACCAATTCTGAACTATAGTTTTCTATTGACATAGAAACTATGACACCTATTATCTTTCAGGGATCCTTATGTATTTTTCAGATCCTTTTGGCTTTTAAGTTTTGGGCTACTAAATCAGTATAAATTTTAATTGTTTTACTTCTAAATGAGATGTGCCATTTTTATCTTCATGTTTTCAAAAATTCTAACAATGTTTTCTATTTTAGGAATTTTAATTTGATGTGTTATAAAGAGGACCTTATTTTGGATATTATCTATTTGGATTTTAAAATGCCTCTTGCATGTGGATTTCCATCTAATTCCTAAGATATGAAAACTTTCCTCATACTATTTCTTTGAAGATGTTATGAAAACTTTGTAGTATTTTTTAATTTTTTTCTTTTTAGATATACATGACAGTAGAGTGTATTTTACATATTATACATATATGGAGTATAATTTGTTCTAGTTAGGATACTATTCTTGTGATTGTACTGAAGTGGAGTTTCATTGGTAGTGTATTCATATATGGATATAGGAAAGTTGTCAGATTCATGCTACTGTCTTTTTTATTCCTATCCCCTCTCCCTTCCCTTCATTCTCCTGTGTCTAATCCACTGAACCTCTACTCATCACCTCTCCACCCTGTTGGGTAATAGCATACGCATCTTGGGCTTCATCTATGCCAATGACTTTTAGATGGGTCTCTTAACGTTATATTTCTTGAATATTCTAGTCATGATTTTTATGCATCTTTTCTTTATTGTCAAATTTATTTTCTAGATTGTATAGTTTGTATTTGAGAAGAGAACATCTTTCTCCTTTTTTATCTCATATATTGGTGATGCTTTCCATGAAATTTTTATTTTGATTTATTGAGTCTTTCATAGGTTTCTTTTCCCCAGAATACAACTCTTTATTGAAATGATCTTTCATTTTTGATATTTTATCTCTTAGTTCCTTCCTTTTTTAAAGTATAAACCTTCTAAATTCTTTATCTAATATTTTCTGTACTGTGTTGTAAATGGGGTCAGGTTTTGCAGTGTAGGGGACTTAGGGGAATGGGGGTTGTTCCCTGAGTTTTTTATATTGTTTGAATTTCTACACCTATAGAGGGATGATTACATCTTCTACTTTTATGCAAGTACTATTGAGTGAGCTTCTATCTGATAATTGCTCCAGGCTGGGAAATTTTCTAAGTATTGACACTCCCCTGCAGCTTCGGCTATGCCCAGTATCAACAACACATGTATATTTCAGCTCATGTGTATGTTTCAACACAGAGTGTACACACCCATACTCAGGCATACTGGAGCTTATACATACATACCATCATTCCCAGACTCTTGCTTTCACCTCACACACACTCACAATGCAGACACCAACACAATGGTCATGTCCCACTCTGTCACATAATCACTCACACATTCATCTTCATTCTGTGTCTTAGTACCTTGTACAGATATGTAAGTTTGTGCTTATTTACAAGCCTGTGAATTCCATAAAGAAGTTGGCCTTGTATGTTCTTTACATTCTTTTCATCCTGCCACACACAGAAAGGACAGCATTGTCCACATGCAGCATTTAAACAGGCTCTGGTGTTTGCTGTGAATGCACAGGGTGTGATGTGAAAAGCCAAAGTGATCTCTTGCCACCTGCCCATGTTGGTGAGATGAGCTGGTTTCCAAAGAGCAACATTGGGAAGAAATCATACCACACACAGACATGAGGTTTTCAGGTCGAATGTAGGACAGCTCTACGACCAAAAGGGTCAGCTTCCATGCTAGACAGTGCTGGAAAGACAGCCTGCACGGGAATATATTTTATAGGGGGGACACACAAAAGAGCTTTGCTGGAATGTTCTTCACCAAATAAGGCAGGGGATAGGGTTTCAAAAGAAAGTTGCCCAAACCCATTGGGAAACTCCCAAGTCAGGGTTAGAACAAACTTCTTTGCCGAATGAAGGTGGAGGCCACTTGCTTCACACAGTGCCTGTGAGGGGATGTCAGACCAAACATCCCCTTTACTCAAGGGTGAGAGAGGAAGCTAGCCCATGGGCAGGCAGCCTCCCACAGTGATCAAATTTCAGGCATCCTCAGCTCCTCCATATCCTGCATGCATGACCTTGACCCACGACCCATAATTCCATATGCCCTACCCTTTGCTCCTGGGTGCTTTTGCCCACTCATGCCCAAGGTCCCATCCTCTGTCAGGCTCCCGACCTTTCCTGTGCAGGTCTTTTCTCCCTCCCCATGTCTATCAGGTCCCCCCGGCTCCACTTTCTTTATTTACACCTGTGTATGCCTTAGTCCATTGCTCACCAAGATCTACCTCCCCGTCTCCTGCTCCTTTCCCCACAGCACACTTCATCACATTCCCACGAACCATAACCTCCTTTTGCCTTTGAACCATGCATTGTCATTTTACCCTCTGTTAATGGGACACCTTGTCATCCTCCTCCCCTCCAGAACCCAATATCCTTAACTTCCTTGCACACACAATGTCTTTGTAACCTAGGTCCAGCACTGACTTGAGCCCCTGAGCAACATGTGCTATCCTTCTGTCTTCTCACTCTCCACCTTCTGCTCTTCCCCCAGCACTTTATAAACCCACCCTTCAGGGTCTCCGCTCCACTGTCTTAACCCTGTCATCCCATTTCCCTGTGTCCTCTGTCACTCTCATCTGTCACACAGTCAGGCACTGTCACTCTTCTAAATGCTTCACTATTAAACAATTGCTGCTGGTTATTGTTGACATGTGCCCCAAGAGTTGGAGTGTGTGCACAGTGATCAAATTCTGAGGCAGGTCAAACGGAGAAAAATTATGAAAAATGAGTTTCAGACAAGTTAGTGAAAATTCTCTCTGGATATTTTTTTTCTGCTTTTCTGCACCATATCTGATCCCTTCACCCTCTGCTAGGGTATTGATTTTTGGTTATGCTATAGTTGAACAGTGGTTGCTTTCAGGGCAGCCTGGGAGCTTAGGAGATGGAAATAGGATCAAGGTAAGTAAAATGATGGGCGCCTCTTGTTCCTTCTGGTGTGGACTTGATTGGCTGCTCTAGATTCCAAACCACATTGTTTTTAACTGGGGCCTCCAAACTACTATAGTGTACAGTAGTGTGCATGGGTTCCGAAATGCATTGGGGATCTTGGACTGCATTACCCTGCACAAGGCAGGATGCCTGCATGACACTGCTTCTCTGTGTGGTGCACTGGGTTCCAACCTGCAGGGCCACCACCATCAACCTACTGTTGTCTGGACCTCTCTTTCATCTTCATCCTCTGATCACACTGATGATACAATTTTGGAAAAACATATCTATTAATTCCACATCTATCCCTGATAACTTCTGGATCTGCTTTCACTCTTCAACAAAAGCTCTCCACAAGATAGGAACATTTGAGATAAATACATGGATAATTGTTATACTCCTTTATCCACCACTCATTTATCCACTGTATTTTCTTCTGGCAAATGTTTTCAGGAGTACACCACTGGTTCAGTCATTGTGACTAAACCAACTTTCAAGGACTGGGAACTCCCTTATTTGATCTGCCTCCAGCTATATGAATTCCAATGACAATCTACAGGTTGCTGTGCAACAGCATGAACACAATCGGCTTTACTTCCTTCCACAATGAATATGTAGCTCCCACATTCAGGCAGCTGAGTACACCAATGTCCTTAGGAGTTTACAATAGAAAGGCAAGTGACTACTTCATAGTTTCTGGATTGGTGTTTTGAGCATGAAGAATGACTAAACAATTGCACATTGTCTCAACACATACTATTCACATACTTATTTCAGAATTAAGAATTTTATATTCCTTAGGAGCAGAGCCTGGATAGAATGGAGTTATGGTTCATGAGAAGAAAGGGGCTGACAGTGGGAAAACACACGGAGATCAGGACATTGGTGTTCACCAACCACCAACTGGGATTAAAATGAAGGGTAACACAAACATTTAATAAGGAAGAGAGTGTGTGGAAACTCACAAAGGAGCCGACCAAGACAAGTATTCTCTGGGTGGCTCTAGACTCAGGGCAGGATCTGGGGGAACCTTTGATGCTGTGAATGTACTGAACCCTCTGCTTGTGCCTGTACAGAAGGAGAACCATGGAGCCACTGGACCAGATCATGAGCAAGGAAAAGACAATCTCAGGAAATACAAACAATGCTGCATATAATGAGTTTGTTATGTTGTTAGGACCAATGTAAAGACAGTACCTCAAATATCTTTTCTCTGTCAAGTTTTTGCTATTCCATTTGCCAAACACATAGAGAGGAAAAATGGAATTCACCACCATGTACAGGATCCAACAGAGGGAAATGGAGAAGCCAATGTACTTGGGAGCTCTTTCTTTGTGATCCTTCCAACAGGAGTTCATGGGGCTGATGGTGATGTTCTGGAAGATGCTCAAGAGGCAGGTGATGACAATGGACACACTCCTGCCCACTCGCTGCATGTACAAAATAAGTTGGCATACAAAATCACTGAAGAAGTACCTCAACCCAAAAGCTGCAATTGTCTGGGGAATTCCTCTGCCAAGAATGACCAAAGAGTTGGCTATGACCAGGTGGCTGATAATCAAATCAGTGGTCCTTAATATACAGTCATTGTAGAAAAGGACTAAATGATAATAAAGCAGAGAGAAATTTCCCAGAACTCCAACTGCAGACTGTGATAAGAGCATCAGTCCCATGGCCACGTCTCTGGAGTCCATTCCCTCTCTCAGCACATATTCCTTTAAGTGATTGCAACCGTTCTTCCTGTGAACAAAATGACTCATTAAAAATTTTGTAGTGAACCCAATAGTTTATACCTGTAGTCACCAGCTCCTCAGGAGGCTGGGGCAGAAGTGTGGTTTGAACTAGGCATTAAAACTCAGCCTGGGAAATATTGCAGTACCTGTCTGTGGGTGTGTATTTTCACCAAGTACAACATTCATTGTTAAAATATTGACATGTACATATGAATGGGGGAGTTCCCAGATTATCTTCTTAGAGAAGTCAACTTTAAAAATCAGGTGATGATAACCTGGAGGAAGCAATGGAAAATGAGAGCAGTGGAGAGAAAGCATAACTCAACATGTGCAGCATAAACTGATATTTGATAGTCATTTTGTAAAAAGATAACTATTTTGATCCCCTCCGTGGAAATGAGTCCTTACTTTTTCATTATCTTTTATTCTTTTGTTTTCCTCCTATTTTATGCGTTTTGCTGTGCTCACTGGTTCACACATATACATACATACACATATTTGTTTATTTTTCCCTCACCGTAGCATTTTTAAATGTCTATCATTTTTAAAATTTTTCCTTGCCTTGTCTATTGAGGGTTGGGGTTTTGATGAGTAATCTGGGTTTGTTTTCTCTGTTTTCATTTGTCTGTTTCTATGGTTTATTTTCTCTCTTTTCTTCTGTGACAGCCAAATTCTACTATTTTCTCTTGCATTCTCCCTTTGTTACTTTTAACTTTCCATTCTTCTTTTTTAAAAATATTTTTAGTTGTAGATGGACCTTCATTTTACTTATTTGTATGTGGTACTGACATTTGAACCCAGTGCCCCACACATGCTAAGCAAGTGCTCTTCCTGACTAAAACTTCAGCCCTTTCCCTCCTCCCTTAAACCATCACATGCTATATCTCTTCTGCATTCTCTCTGTTCAATCTTTCAAATCATGAACTCTTTTCTACCTTCTTATCAAATGTCCTTTTCTCTTAGTTAACTCTGTTCTTACCATCTTTTAGCACTAATTGTTTATATAACTCCTGACCCCACCATTAATGCTGTTGCAATTAATACTGCTGTGGGTCCCATTCTTGACACCTCTTGTTGCTTTAATGGCAGATACAGTTCATGGTTACTTATTGGTTTTGTTGTTGTTGTTGTTGTTTGTTTGTTTGTTTGTTTTTTCCTGCTGGAAATTGCTGACCCTACCATTTCTGTTTTTTGTTGCAATTAACAATGTAAATGGCATAGTAGGAACCAAGTATTCAGTTTAATGCTGTATAATGTTTACATAGGTTGTTGTTTATTGTTCGTTTGCCCCTTTTCTGTGAAGTGCTGGAGTCTATAATGACACTATGAGTTCACAGGGTAGAAACTCTGCTGCTGAAATAAATTCAGTCAATGACATACAAATTAATTACACTCAATCTTCAGCTATACCTTAATATAAATAATAAAAGAGACAGCTTAACTAATGACCAGGCCCCAAGTAGAAACATCTAGGGGTGGGCCCCCAGGTCCCACCTATCAACATCCAATGCTGTAGTTGAAACATAGAGAAGTAACCCAAAGACAGCACACCCATGAGAAGTTCTCAATACAGATCTCTCTAGGACACTTTTTTTTCTAAATAGACCATATTCTAGGTCACTATGTAAGTCTTACAAATACAAAAAGAAAAATGCTATTATCTTGTGAATCCAATCAGATCAGAATGCAATGAAACTACCAGTCAACAGCATGATATATAGAAATCATAAAAATACACAGAAATTGAAAAATACATTTTTAAGTGAGGGATAAATAATAGAATAAATAACAGAAGAAATAAAAAGTTTTTAGAAATAAATGAGAACAGAGATAAAACACTAAAATTCCTGGGACAGTATAAAGGCAGTTCTAAGAGGAAAATTCATAGCATTGAATGCCTTCACTAAAAAATATCAGAAATATCCCCAATAAATAATCTAATGCTAAAAATGAATACCCTTAATTCACCAAAGTAGGAGGTTACAAGATCAATGTTCAGAAATCAATAGCTTTACCATATTCTAACAGTTACGCTGCTGGGAAAGAAATCAGGAAAACAATCCCATTCACCATAACCTCAAGAAAAAATATATAACTGGGAATAAATCTAACAAAGGAGGTGAATTATTTCTATAATTAAAAGTACAGAACCCTGAAGAAAGAAATTAAAAAGAACCTTAAAAAATGGAAAGACCTCCCATATTCTTGGATAAGCAGAATTAATTTTATCAAAATATCTGTATTTTTAAAAACATTATACCGATTCCTTGAAATAATCATCAAAATACCAAATAACTTTCTCCATGGAACTAGGAAAACAGTCCTAAAATTCACTTGAAATAATAAAAGTCCCAGAACAGCCAAAGCAATCAGGAGCAAGAGTAGTCCTAGAGAAATCATAATACTGTACCTCAAATTATACCACAGAGTTATAGGAGAAAAAGAGCAGATATTGGCATCAAAAAGATATGAAGTCCAATGAAATAGAAGACAGAGAGTTACAGCCAACTGATACTTGATAAGATTGGCAAAAATATATGTTGGGAAAAAAGAGCCATTTTAACACATGGAACTGGGAAAAATGGATAACCATGTGTAGAAGAATAAAATTAGATCCTTATCTCCTAACCTGATCAAATTAAAGACTTAGGAATTAGATTATTTGGGTGAGTTTTTGCTGTTTTAGTAGGAATTGAACCCAGGGGCACTTAGTCTTCAAGCTACATCTTGAGCTCATTTTTATTATTTATTTTGAAACAGGGTCTCTCTAAGTTGCTTAGGACCTTGCCAAACTGCAAAGTCTGGAAAAACTTTGCTACTGCTAGAACAAGAAATAGACTCAACAAGCAACATATTGGTGCAGACACCAACTTTCTTAACAAGACCCCATAACTCAAGAAATAAAACCAAGAGAGATGACATCAAATTAAAAAGCTTCTTAATATCAGTGGAGATCATGAAGAGAGATTCTGCAGAATAGCAGAGAACCTTTGCTGTATTCTCTTCTGACAGAGGATTAACATTCAGAATACATAAAGAATTCAAAATGTGTAACATCAAAAGTAAAAATGACACAATACAAAACAAACAAGTGTCCCATGGGTGCAGTGATGCAAGTCCATAATCCCAGCAGTTTGGAAGGTTAATCAATAGGATTGGGAGTTCAATTCCAGACTTTGCAATTTGGCAAGGTCCTAAGCAACTTAGAGAGACCCTGTTTCAAAATAAATAATAAAAATGAGCTGAAGATGTAGCTTGAAGACTAAGTGCCCCTAGGTTCAATTCCTACTAAAACAACAAAAACTCATCCAAATAATCAAATCAATAAATGGGTTAATGAAGAGGCATCCCCCCCCCAAAAAAAAAGAAATATAAATGGCACTCAAATATATGAAAAAAAAAGTGTTCAACTACCTGGAAATCAGGGAAATACAAATCAAAAGTACACTAACATTTCATCTCACTCCAGTTAGAACAGCAATCATAAGAATACAATAATAAATGCTGGAAGGTAAGTGGTGAAGGAGGTTCACTCACTGTTAGTGTGACTGTAAATTAGTACAACTACTTTGGAAAGCAGTATGGATATTTGTCAAAAGATTAGAAATGGAACCACCATATGACCCAGCTATCTCACCCCTTGGTATTTAACCAAAAGAACAAAACTGACCTACTATAATGTTGCATGCACATCAATATTTAGTGTAGAGCTATTCATCATAGCCAGCTTATGGACCAGACCAGGTGCCCATCAGGAAATGAAGAAATTAAGAAAATTATTCACAATGGAGTTTTATGCAGCCATTATAAAGAATGAAATTATGGCATTTCCAGTAGGTGGATAAAACTGGAGAGCATCATGCTAAGTGAAATAAGAGACTTGGAAAATCAAGGGGTGAATGGTTTCTCTCATAGGTGGAAGCTAGTGTGAAGTAAGGGGATCAGGGGAAGGCGTCTTACAAGGGAAGACTGATGGGCCAGGAGAATCAGATTAAGGGGGAGGGAGAAGGGACAGAGAAGGGAGAAAATGGGGAATTAATTTGACAATATTACACTATGTCCATGAATACATAGGCCACAATGAATTCCACCTGCATGCATATCTATAAAGAGCCAATTAAAATTGATAAATAAAAGGAAAACCAGCACAATTGGCAAAGAGAAATGGAAAGAAGGAGAAGGAGAGAGAAAGAGGAAGCACTGGGGACTGATACGGAGCATGTTTGGTTAAGTCAAAATGAACCGACTATACTGCAAAACTATAATGCACTAATAAAAGCAAAACTCATAGTAGAACAAAAATATAGTAGAATAAATAAATAAATATTGGAAAATACTTTTTTTTCTAAACCATGACGCATGAAATACTAATAGCTGATAAAATAGGATAAAATTAAGTCCCTACAAATTTCATGCTAAAAGCTTATATTGACCAATACCTATTAAACTTCTGATAAACAAATGCAAGTTTTGAAAGGCAAAAGAAAGATTTACATGGAATATGAAGACCAGGAACTCCTGGGCACTGTGTGGATTGAAACACAAATCAATACATGCCGGGGACTTGGGTTAAGGTGAGAACATTAATAAACCAGAGGAAACAACACAAAGCGCCTTTGGTCCTGACAGCCACTGTCCAACACTCATAAAGATATGTCCCTTACCTGGTGCATTCCAAGTTCATCAGGGGAGGAATTCTCACCTCGAGCATCACACCATAGGTGATTCCGTGAAGACACAATTTCTATCTCCACTGAATGGATTATAAATGGATGCTGGTCTGGATTTCTGTTCAGTATTAAGACATTCTCTTGGTTTTATCCTCATCTTCACTGTAGGCATGAAGGCATGGTAAAAACAGCTACAGTGATACCGATTTGGTCCATGATGTACTGTGGACAGCAGGGTGCTTTAACTACCATAGTGCTTCAGCACCTACACAACCAGATTTCAGTAACAACATCTGGGATTATTAACAATAGTTAACCTCA